GACAAAATGGCCGCCGTTCGTTGTCAAATAGCGTAAGAAAATGGTATATCAAGGTTGTGGACCCTATAGAGGTCACAATTTTTATCCGATTTTGTTGAAACTTGAAATGTAAGCCTATAACCCAAAGATCTTGGTTCCTTTCGATATTTGCGCATATTGGACCGTAATTTCCTGAATTATGGCCCCTGATTGTACGAAAAATCGCGTTTTTAGCGAAAAGTCAAAAATCACAACTTTCAAATCGCGGTAAAAGCAATAGAATTGTTTTATTCATTAGCCAAAAATTGCTTTCAAACTTGTGAAGTGCGATTCATTATGTTTTGTATGAAAATACTTCATTTGGATAAAAGTATCATGACTAGTTTTAATTAATAAATTGGTAAATTGTAGAAAACAATACCGCCGGTAAAAAAACCCATCTTGTCTTGTTTTTCCAGACTTAAACTTTAGTTAATTATTTTGTCTATTCTGTGACGCGATCAAAAGTCAGTTTTGCTTGCGATTTCCCAGGCGGACATGTATAATGCGTTCAATATAGAAAAACTAACTGTCTGGTAATTCCAAGGTAAATCACTGCCGGTTGCTATGAGAAAATAGTCCCGCAAGTCCAAATTATCCAGTATACAATTAATCGCAGTTACCAAAGTTTTGTCCGTCTGGTTATTTAAGACTACCGTGAGCGCGTGCTAAGATAAAATGGCGGCGTCTGCTAGCTCGAAAAGACAAACAAATGGAATAAAATTAGCCACGGTACATTCGTGGATACAAAAATATGACAAAAATCATACATGGTTAAACTATGGACCCTATAGAGGTCATAATTTTTATCCGATTTAAAAAACCGTATTATTATATCACCGTTACACCCTAAGGATGAATGAGTTTGAATTTTGTGAAAATAGGCCCAAAATTGACAGACAAAATGGCCGCCGTTCATTCTCAAATAGCGTAAAAATATGGTATATCAAGGTTGTGAACCCTATAGAGGTCACAATTTTTATCCGATTTTGTTGAAACTTGAAATATAAGTTTATAACCCAAAGATCACGGTTCCTTTCAATATTTGCCCATATTGGACCGTAACTTCCTGAATTATGGCCCCTGATTGTACGAAAAATCTTGTTTTTAGCTTGTGGACCAATTAGAGGTTATAATTTTTATCTGATTTAAAAAACCGTATTATTATATTACCGTTCCACCCTAAGGACAGTTGAGTTTGAAATTTGTGAAAATCGGCCCAAAATTGACAGACAAAATGGCCGCCGTTCGTTGAAAAACCTTTCTTCCGCGAAAAGTCAAAAATCACAACTTTCAAATCGCGGTAAAAGCAATAGAATTGTTTTATTCATTAGCCAAAAATTGCTTTCAAACTTGTGAAGTGCGATTCATTATGTTTTGTATGAAAAGACAAACAAATGGAATAAAATTAGCCACGGTACATTCGTGGATACAAAAATATGACAAAAATCATACATGGTTAAACTATGAACTTTGTGCTAACTTTGTGCTAAGTATGAACATAAAATAAACTGCTCGAGAAATTTCAGTAGGGCAATTCATTGAACCACAAGATTGGCACTCAAGGCAGACAATTTACGCAAACACATGTAAATGAATAATAAAACAAGACTAAAGATTATAATATTGTTTATTTATCAGAATTGCAAATTTTTGTAATGTACAGTTTACTGCTCCTCAAATCTGAGCAAATGCTATTTAAATTTTGAATTGATTACAAAATGTGAATCTGTCACAAAAATTTGCTACTCTTTGGTTTTAGACTAAATTGAACCCAGATACACCAACATTTCTTTCACTTTAAGTTACAATGTTGGGATATTTTGACCTTTTTTCGACGTCATATCCTCCGCATTAAAATTTGAGGAACCCTGTGGCTGTTTTACGCGAAACGAAGTGCATTTTAGTACAATATTTCTATGGATTGCGTATGTACTGTTTTTCTAGAGATTTTATATCAGGATAGAAGACGATGTTTATTGAAGGAATAATTAGGTCGCTCTTCACACGTAATTGAAAATACACAATGTCTATTGAGAACTTAATAATTATTTTCTGCATGATTAATTAGTAGGCCTAAATTATGACCAGTTCTTGAAATTAGGATTCTTCTACAACGGCACCAAAAATTTATAAATGCCGTAGCTAAAATTAGCTGACACTGCATGACTGCCTTTCTTCATATTTAACAAATACTGTTGTCATTTTCCGTCACTGAACGTGCAATTTTTATATTTGTAGATAGACAACACTAGGGACCGGGTATCATTCAGATTTGACGAAAAAAGGAAAGAAACTGAGCTTACCATCTAGAATCTAATACTCGTATCCAGTTAATAGATTGTCATCCAGAAAGTGTTAAATGCTGTCGTCAAAATTCATCAAATAATGTCCAGTTTGTGCTACATGTAGTTTAAGAAACACTGTTTAGTTTTGACATCGGTCGTCTAGTTTATGAAACTAAATTGTCATAAACCAGACGACCAATATCAAAACTAAACTAAATGGTCATAAACTAGACAACCAATGTCAAAACTAAACAGTGTTTCTTAAACTACATGGTAGCAGAAACTAGCCCTTTTTTTCATGAATCTTGATGGCATTTAATACTTTCTGGATGGCAATCTATTGAATATGTGTATTAGATTCTAGATGGTAAGCTCAGTTTCTTTCCTTTTTTCATCAAATCTGAATGATACCTGGTCCTTAGTGCAAACGGCCCGTGCAATCATTTTCAGTGTCAATTAATCTGGTCCTAATTGTGTTTGGTGGTACTGTCATAAGTACAGAGTCTTCTTGGAGTAATAAAGTCATCGAAATTTGTTTTCCTTTCGATCATTGAGTTATTCGTGTTCCCAACGGTTGCCATCATGTCAATCATAACTAAAACTGATTCATCAAATTTCACACAGCTCTGCCATAACCTTCTATAATAAGGCCACTATTTTAGAAAGTGAGAATTTTTATGAAAAAATAAATTATAACGGTAGGCTTGGGACACTAAATCTTACATTTCTGAATTATTGACCAAATCCCAAGCCCCTGTATGATATTGAAAAGTTATTACCTATGCATTTCATGCGTCTACATGTATATAAAAGGCATAACTTTTTGATACGTGGACAACGGCGCAATTTGGGCTATTTTTATTACTGTAGCAGTCCATGTTTGCTTCAGTTTTTACTTTTTACGACAGTTTTGCCGTTGCGGTACGTAGTGGTAAATTCTAGCATTGGCGGTATGATTGAGATTATTATTTATAAAATATTATTAAATGTTGATTACAATATAAGTCCTTAAATTTGTCGGTGTTCGTAGAATGTTTCATCGCTACCGGCTGATTATGATAGCTTCTGTCTTATCAATGTAACGTGACATTTTCCCGCTTTTTCTATCTATAGAGTTGAAAATATCAACTAAAATAAAAGGGCCGATTGCCATTTTAAGTAAGAGACTAGAGAGAATGCTTTGTTCACAATTTGAATAATATTTTATGAAAAGATATTTGGCTGCCGAGTCATTTTGAACAGATATCGGCTACACAAATATCGGTAAAATTTCTTCTGCTAGGCCACTCATCGGCCAATTAGGCTACTTAATGGTGAAACCGATAATCTGACCATCACTAAAAATAAATTTAAAATGATTAAAAATTTTGTTTTGTTTAACGAATTCCGTTCGTAAATGTGCACGATGCCAGATTTCAACTTTCGCCAATGTAGGTCATTTCCTGTTTCACTGTGTTTTGTCTGTTGTAGGCGAAGATTTTTGTGAAATCTCTTACAATAGACAGCAAAAAAGATTTTTCGGAACATAGATAGATATGATATGTAAGTTTAATGTGTTAGCAGTGCAGATAACTGAAAATTGTGAATTTTGCCATCCGCTGAAAGAAGTAAACTAGTTATCAACTTTTGTGACAAGCTTTTGACTGTTCGGATGTTAGATGTTACGTCGTCAGAATATCAAAGAGTAACATCTAACTTATTGGATTATACCAACAATAGAAAACATATGCGAGAACTGTTGTTGACTGTTCGGATGACTTAGCTGCTGTGGGCGTATGTTTCGTTGCCTGGAAACCAATCTTTTATTATAGTATACCCATTGCATTATCTAACTTTTATAAATTTATTCACAATGATTTCTTAGTCTTGGAAAATAGTTACTGGCTGCATAGTATATCCGATTAATTGCTGTTAACACCGATGTACACAAGGCATACTGATTCAGTGATTACTACCCACCTATGTAATCATTTAGGGCTCCCTTTCTATACTGTTTATACTTAGGGTTAGTCACTGATATACCTATTAGCCAGTAGATTGCGTTAATCAAGTACTTGTTGTTATTATGTATATATTTATGGCTTCAATGTATAAATACTTAGGGTTTTACTAATATGTCTGTTTTAACTTTATTATTAATATTATGACAAAGGGAGAAGATGACGCACCCTCTCTTCATACAACAGTGTGTTTTAAGAAACTTTTGATATCCGAGGACTTTTTTATTTTGTGTTTTTAACAATTTTCAAGTGTAAATAATTTAATTAAATCAACCTGTCCATAATATCATATTTATTGTATTGGACGTTAAATCTGTAATAAACAACAACAGCTAATGTCTGTGATATCACTTCAGTGGAAGCTATTTCACACACTTATATGTATTGTTTGCAAGATCACTTCAGTGAAAGCAAGTGTTAAATAAAGCTATTTCACACACACATACCTATATATATTATTTGTCTGCGATATCACCTCGGTGGAAGCGGACGTAAAATACAACTAACTCACACACATATGTTATCATTTCCTTAATAAAGACGAGTGTATCATCACATGTTAATAGACTAGTAGTAGTAATTGTTATTCCATAAATAGTTTTTAGTGTGTTATGGTTCAATTACTAAATGCCACTCAAAGAAGTTAGATTTGATGTACTTTCAATTTTACAAATTGTTTTTTTTTATATTTCAGGATGATTTAATGGCTGAATTAGAAGAATTGGAACAAGAAGAAATAGAAAAACAACTATTAGATGTAAATGGTCCCGCTACGGAAGACTTGCCATCCGTACCTGTATCTGAACCTGAAAGTAATATATACCTTTGTTTATAATTCATTATTTCAATATCAAGTGATTTTTATGTCACTATTTTCATATATTGACTGGTTCATTTTCCTCCCTTGAGTTACCTCCAGCCTTCCCAGTGCAGTGACACACGGATTAAGAATTGGGAATACCTACACTTAAAAGCAGTGATGTGATTTCAAAATTTTAGTTGTCGGACATTTTCTTCCCGAAAATAAAGGGACATAATAACTCTTTTTGTTATTTAAGCAGGCGTTTTCAAACCACAATTAAGAATCACGTGTCAACAAAATATTCAAATTCATACTTAATAAAAAAAATAGGTGCACCTCGTTATTTTTCATATTTAATTCCCGTATGGTATTCAAATTGATGTCAATAATATTCCTACAAATTTACATGACATCGTCATCGTAATACCATAGAATGAAAGCGTGCCGATTACTGCCCATCCGTACCTCTTTCAAATTCCCCCCATATTACCGTATTTTTCGGGTCATAAGTCGATGCATTTTTCAGCAAAGTCCCGGCATTCGTCTTATACTCCGTTTCGATTTATATATGGAAGGTAAAAAAAAATGACATCCCGAAATTTATTTGGCCGTAAACCGTAGTAAACGTCGCTCTAATACAACGAGCGAGTGACACCAACTGCTAAATAGTCCCATTCGACTCTAAGCACGCGCTATCATCTAAAACAATTACCGTAACTACTTACGTTATTCCAATCGAAATATTTGTCAACATTTCTTAGCGTGTTTATTTATTTATTTAAAAACAAAAACCTCATTCAAAATATGATCATAAATCCGACAATATGCCATCAAAATAGAATCTTTTCTCCCGACATCAGACGTATTAGATTCGGCACGTTTACACCTCTTAATTCCACGTGTAATAACACTTTTAAGTTAAAAGTGTTATTACTATTCTAGTGACAGTGATGTTCACCAGTATGGAATACATCATACCACAAATTAATTTCAGCAAGAAATTGTAGATTTGTTATTATTTGTAAGATTTGAAGAAAAAGAATTTTAAATGTGGTAGATACTGAACTATGTCATGTTGTTTAGGAAATATATTGTCGTCGCCTCCGTCCGTCCGTCCGTGTTTAAGGTCATGAGACGAAGAATCCTATTGATTTTCAGCGATTTCCGATAATTACTGCCAGAGCTATGGCCCTTGATCACTTTGAAAAATCTTGTGGACGCTCTAGAGGCCAAAGTTAATATTCGATTGACTTTAAATTTATACACAGTGTTTTAGGTCATGAGACGAAGAAGTTTATTGATTTTCAGCAATTTCCGATAATTACTGCCAGAGTTATGGCCCTTGATCACTTTGAAAAATCTTGTGGATGCGCTAGAGGCCAAAGTTCATATTCGATTGACTTAAATTTATACACAGTGTTTAAGGTCATGGGACGAAGAATCCTATTCATTTTCAGTGATTTCTGATAATTACTGCCAGAGTTATGGCCCTTGATCACTTCAAGAAATCTTGTGAACGCTCTAGAGGCCAAAGTTAATATTTGATTGACTTGAAATTTATACACAGTGTTTAAGGTTATGTAACGAAGAATCCTATTGATTTTCAGCTATTTCCGATAATTACTGCCAGAGTTATGGCCCTTGATCACTTTAGGAAATCTTGTGGACACTTTAGAGGCCAAAGTTAATATCTGATTGACTATAAATTTATACACACTGTTTAAGGTCATGAGACGAAGAATCCTATTGATTTTCAACGATTCCCGATAATTACTGCCAATGTTATGGCCCTTCATCTCATCACTTTGTGACGCTCTAAAGGCTAAAGTTATCATCCGATTGACTTCAGATTGATACACAGAGTTTAAGATCTTGAGACAAACAAGTATATTGATTTTCAATGAATTTTTATGATTTGAACAGCTAAATCCATGATATTAATAGTTAGGCAGAACTTTATAAAAACCAAACAAATTCTAATTGTTTTCTGATAATTACTTCATGAGTTGTTGCTCTTAATCAGATTTTAGTGTATTATAAATGTTTCATTACAGAAAAAAGTAAAAATATGCGACAACTCTTGTTGACTGCCCGGACGATTTAGCTGCTGTGGGCGTATGTTTCATTGTCGGGCAATCTATCTTTTCCTAGAGATTGTCAACACATATACCTTCAGTCATTCTGGGATGTAAATATGGTAATTGTTCATTACAATGGTCACATGTGTAATGCAAGGAAAGAGATTTTGCCCAAACTATTTATCTAATCAGATGATAAATGCTGGATAGACATGAACAGTGTATTAAAGAAATATTATTCTTGTAATCTTTGCAGGAAGAAAACCTGTTGCAGAAGATGATGATGAAATGAACCAACTGGCAGCCTGGGCATCATAGAACGACTTTATAAAGATATAATATGCCTTATAGAGCTGGACCTTGTAATACACACATGTACACACCATATTGACAGATTTAAATAACATTTAAAAGAAAATACATAGCAATGAACTATCAGCATTATGTATTGGTTTATTCATACATGTATGATTCATCTGTCTCTTTATCTTATATCTGTAGTTGAAAATATATCATAAAATCAACCTTTACATTAAGTTAGTTTCAAGCATTTGTGATACATTTATTCTAAATTCAAACTTAAAGAGTATGTAAACTCTAGGGTGTTAGAAAGCAACTTTGCTGTCAAATGTCATGGTCCATATCATTTTTATCAAAATTTGAAAAATATGTAATGTATTATAGTGTTGGTTTTATTCTCCCATTGTTTTTGTTGAATATATTAATCAAAAATATGTTTTAACACAGTTGTAATTAAAGCTGTATTTCTGTTTTGCTTTCGAGCAGTAAGGACATAAGTTTTTGTGATCTAGATTTCTTGACATTTAGATTGTGTAATATTGTAATATTTATAAATTCCTATCCTGGCTCTTAAATTCTACATAAGTTACATTATTAACATTAGATTGGCTGTGTAGCATTTAACTTGCAATACCATTACTATTATTCAAATAAAAGATAATTATAAAATATCACAAGAGAATTATTCATTAAATTGGATATTACTGTGTCATATTTATATGTACGATATTGGACCTGTATAATTCGTATGTTAAGAATATTTAATCTATTATTTTACAGAGAGACAAAAACTTTACTCAGAAACTAATAGAATTTGAAAAAAAATAAAAATTATAACCAGATCTATCTTTAAGCCTACACAAAATTGATGGATAGCATCTGGTTTATTTATATTCTACATGTATTAAAAAGTTGTGAACTTTCTGATTGTAAATATTAGTAAACTGTAAGTCAGATGTATGTTTATCACAAACATTGTTTTACTATGATACAATAATATCTCAGGCACTTGAAGGGATTAAAATAAAACTTCTTACTACTGCTTGACTTTATATTACAGTATATACAAGATTTCTTACCCTCCATATTGTTTTAACTCTTTCAAGACATTTCATCTGCTATCATCTCACAATTGATAACGCTGTAAAATGACCAATTTAATTACATTGGAAGCTTAATAGTGATCAAATAAGGTCTCGTTAGCAATAAAAGCGACGGAAAGTGTTAGAACTAGTGAGTATTGCGAGATGATAGCAGACGAAATGTCTTGACCCAGTGAAAACAACATGGCGGGTGAGAAACATTGTATATACTGCAATATATAGTCAAGCAGTAGTACAAAGTTTTATTTTAATCACGTCAAGTGCCTGTGAATAATATGTTTGGTCTTAGTATGTGTACTACTAGTTTGTAGACCTTTAAATAAGAAAAGATGTGTCTAAACATATTGTGGGACTATCACTCATAACATACGATTGCCCAGATTTTTATTTTCTATTAGATACAATAGGCAAGCAATCTTCTTTTTTGGTGATGATAATAATTCCTTGATTTAATGATAACTTGGTAATTGGGCTTGTCTTCTTGTTGGTCCTTTGCACAAATCAGGGGATAATACCTAGATTGGTAACAGCAGTCTGAGATATATATTTATCTGTTGCTAAAATACTACTCAGATATCAATTTCAACTACATGAAAATGAATAATAAGATGCAGATGATTGAAAATGAAGAGAAAGTAAATTGTGTTGATTTGCAATCTTGTGATTACATGTATATTTTTCAGTAGGAATGCTGCTCAGTGAACATTCATGTTTATATCATGATGATGTACATGTACATCTAAGATCGTAAACAGAAATTAAATTAGTTTTATTATTGATTTTAAGCAGTTGTCAAAGTAAAAAATTACATAAGTTTTATAAGGGTTGTTGAAATAACATCTGAATAAGATTACCTATATTTGTTGATGTATATTATAACGTATCTGTTCTAGTTGATTTGTGTAAATAAGTAAATTATATGTGCATGTAAGTAAATGTCATGATAATAGATATTGAGTTTTGACTATAAATAAACTTATTTGAACTTCTTGTAACATATTATGTCTCTTCTGGTCTATCTGCACTTCTAAATTTGCTGTGGGGGTCTAAGCGGAAATAAAAATTAGAGAGTTGTTCATGTCGCTAATACTGAAGAGTTATGGGAAATAATTCTACTTAATCGAATTGATTATTTCCATTTGCTGATTAAATAGCCGCGAGAACTGGCAACCGAAAATCTGCTTACACCGCCGTACATTTTCAAAAAAGTTTTTATAAACCTCAATGCTGTGTACTAGCACTGGAAGGGTTAGGTATCAAAAGTTCTTGGATCAGTTCGATTTTGGTACATATCAAACCTTCTGTTCTAGAGTTATAGCCCCTGCTTTTTATACGCCCACATTTTCATGTGGGTGGACGTATATTGTTGTCACCCCTGTCCGTCCGTCCACAATTGTTTGTGGACACTCTACAGGTCACAATTTTTATACGCCCAAATTTTCATTTGGACGTATATTGTCGTCGCCCCTGTCCATCCGGACATCCGTATGTCTGGACGTCCGTCCGTCCACAATTGTTTGTGGACTCTCTACAGGTCACAATTCTTATCCCA